GCCCACTTCACTCTTCATCATCAGGGTTTCCCTCTTTCTGGCTACGAGCCAGCCTCTGCCCTAAAGACTAGGTTGAGTATGCTTATTTGTTTTTCCATATAAGTCTGGGCTCTTAGTCTAGACTTACAGCTTAATTTACAGCTTAACACAAGACTGTGAATTCTTATTGTATAAAGATAGTCCCAGCTAATTTGACTACCCAGAACCTTCTAGAACTAGAAAACCTGAGGAAGAGAGAAGAGGGACCAGAAGATAGGATATCTGTGACCAGCTTGGATAGCCAAACCCTTCTAACCAGCTATTCGTGGAGACACATGGAATTGGGAGTCACTGGAAATGTGCAAAACTGTAAGCTATCAATTTTCTGAAGAGTGACCACAGATAAGATCAGCTGACAGCCAAAGACAGAACACTGTAGAGACCCGCATTTGGGGGTCAGGTAAAGAGAAACAAACAAAAGTAGTCCCTAATGGAGATTATAAATTTGAAAAACTTTTAAGATATAAAATATCAAATGTGGCCATAATGTCCCATGAGGTAACCATTTATGATGTATTACCAATGTTTCCACACCATACCAAACTTGCACTTAAAAAAAAAAAGACTAAATGTAGAAAAGTAAAAAATAGGCACCCTCTACCCATTGCAGAATGGGTAAAAACTGCCCTCTAGGCAGTATGCAGGGCCACATGTAGCCAGGACCCAGGCCATACTCCATATCCTCACCTGAAGCAGGCTGCACTCAAGGAAGTACTGCCTATTGCTTCTCCCTACTTGATGAGAAGAACTCCTCTCCCGCCAAATGCTCTGTACCAAAGCCAGTGCTGGTAAGAGCTTTGTCTTGTGTCTACTTAGTTGAGGATAGTCCCACAGCCTAAGATTTTAAACTCCAAAAGACCAAATGTGATTGTGGAATGTCAACTATAAGCCACCTCAGAGCACTGAGCAGATGGGAAGAGAACTTGGGGTTCTGTGTCTTAGAAACTTTTGATAAGAAGGTACTCTCTCCTTTTGGGCTGGCCAGGCCTAAGGAAGATGCAAACAAACATTTATTGGGTGATGAACATTAAATCATATTACACACTGTAATAATACCTAAAATCTGAGACTCAGGTGGCTTAATTCAACCTAGCTAAGTAGCAGTGACATTCCGCTCCCCCACAACAGCAACACCAGGGGATAAACCAATACAAAATCATCACTGTTGTCACAAAGATATGTGCATATGTACACACATTACTATTCAATACACATGTAATTATTCAAATATAATTTAGTAGATATGACTAATAAAGTGTTTAAAATGTTAAGGTAAAAAAGAAGGTATTAAAGGAAGAGCATCTGCCAGTGGCCGTTCCAGTGTGTTACACAGCACTCCTCCTGCCAAGCACATCACAGGTGAGAGCTGTGTTCATGCCCTCAGTAGACAATAGATGTAAGTCCTGAGGATTTTAACTTACCATGCTCTGCGATGATTGCATTATTCGCAGCTGCTTAAGGACAAAGTCTATCTTCTGCTGGTTTGTAAGAGAAGCCAAAAGGGCATTGTGGTTCCTACAGGACAATTTAGCGGTGTCATAAGTCTCCCTCGCAGTAGAAATTTTCAAACACATGTTTAAAACCAAATGCCAGCCACTGCCACAGATATTTTCTTTTGTAAAGGATAGAGAGAAAGAAAAAAACAAACAAAAAACAACAAGTTTTAGAAATCACACAGAACTACTACATTACTGTTCGAATTAATAAAAAACCAAATGATTTTGTGATTTGAATTCTAGGTACTTCCTTAGGATGTAATGAGAGTATCAGACACATTACTAAGGACCAAGTACAGAATACGAGAATTTTAAATGCTTTAACCCCTTCCCCGGCAGAAACGTGTATACTCATTTTCACAAAATGTTCTTTTTTAGTCGTCGACGAGTATACTAAGAAAATATGGTAAAAAAATATGGTTTATAGGAAGACGAGTTACAAACTGTTTTCATAACCAGCATCAAAAATACTATATAGAACCAAAATAAAAAAATTAGTCTGAAAAAGAAACGTTTTTAACAAAAAAATTATTGGGGAAGGGGTTAAAAAAATTAGTCATATTTCCTGGATCTCAAAAATGAGGCCAACCCTCCTGTGTCTTAGAAGAAAACATTTATTTGGTGTCAGTGTTGGATTTTATAAATCTCCTTTTGAAAAACAATTAAGAACAAGACTAAAATTTAGGAGCAGAAAAATAAATATGGATATTGGAAGGCTGGGGTTAAAAACTGCAAGAATAGAAATGAGTTGGTGAATGAACAAGTCTAGTCTTCAAAAGTTGCATTGTTTTCCCCTCAAGTATAAAATCAAGTGCACAATTATCCCAAAAGTAAGGTGAAAAGATCCTTTTGGGGCAGGCACCCCCAAGTGATAGAGCTGTAGCAAAAAGGCAAGCCTGTCATCTGCTACTGTGACTGCCCTAAACCCACCCAAAGAACTGCACAGAAGATTTGAATACTTCTTGGAAGACAAGGAGCAAAGCAACTTCACCAGAACCAAAGTACCCATCAATAATGCTCATGAACAGTCAGTGAGATCAATGAAAGGTACAGTACCATGGGTCAGGGATCATCTCAGAGCAGATAAACACTTGCTCCTGGAGTATGGCATCAGTGTCACTGCTTGTTCAAATGTAGATTCTGGGCCCCAACCTAGATTTGTACCAGAATCTGACTGATAGGAAGATCCCCAGATCCTCAGCTGTGCATTAGAGTTTGAGATGCAATTAGACAAAGAACAAGAAGCCCACTCATAAAAGCTGAACCAAGTACTTCCAAAGGACATTCACAAGGGGCCTGGTGGAACCCAACTGCCCTTAACATGCCTCGGCTGTTGCACGGAGCCACAGAAGTCCCCCTTCCTGGATATCTTGGTTGAGCAAACATATCATACACTTTTAGTTATGACTGGTTGGCCCCAGACTCCCTAACTCATCATCCAGAACCTCAAAAGTGCCATAAATTAAGGTATTTAGGGCTGGAGATCACCCCAGGAGGTGCTGTGGACACAGGCATCTCTCCTCTCCTTCTTGTCAGAAGGTGCAGGCCATCTAATCCAGTGGTCAATAAGAAGCACTCTTCGTTAAGTGCCCAGCAGAATGGCTTATGAGACTACTGCCTTATATTCCTGGGTTTGCACAGAAGAGCAGGGTGAAAACAATGGAGTGGGCTCCATGATACAGAGCCAAGCTGTCATTTGATTCTCCAGAGCAGCAGATGTTTCATTTTGTTTCAAAAGACACTAGGAGCATACTTAAGAACTGTATTTTTGTTTTAAAAAATAACCACAATATTGGTAAGAGGGAAGGAATAGATAAAATGAGCTTATCCCCCACCCCTGAGACTGCACAGTATCAGAGGCATGTGTATAAGTCTTTGGACGCCCCCCCCCCACCCCCACACGCATCAAGATGCCTCTCTAAGGCCTACCAGGCAGGGCGATGCACTCCTGATTGCGGGGCTCCCACTGGCAGTTCTGGTCCAGGGCACAGCTCCTGCAGCTGGTCTTCTTGTTACAGTAGTACATGGGGTTATCCTTGGGGCAGTTCTCATACTTGGAAATGGAGATCTAGAACACAGTGGACAAGAGCTTTCTTCTTATATGCACAGAAAGAACTCATGGTAAGGACAAACAGGACACTAAAAATCAAATTAAAGAAGCAAACTGCAAATGGATATATAAATAAGATTTATAGGAAGCTGCACCACAGTGAAAACACTTTAGGGAAAGGTTCTGCTGAAGGATATGCCTTTACCCAGCAAGGAAGTCATTCACTCTTAAACACCATGCTTCAACCTGTTCATGTGTAAAATGGGAATGTTGAATGTAATGCTTTTCAAATGCCTTCCAAACAGGCTAAATTTATATTTTATGAACTGTTTTACAGACTGTCAAAGAATGTCTTATAAATTGCCAAAGGCTATAAAAGTTGAGTCATCATCTGTGTTGCTTTCTAACCTACATAAAAAATTACAAATACAGACAGTCCTCGGGTTACATTGGAGACGATGTACATTGTTTCACGGTTACGTCGCCACCTCCCATCTAATCTAATAAAAGGGAAACATGTAAATTGACCGCACCTCTGCTATGCCCAAGCCACGCCCTCCAGCCAATCAGAGCGACTATATGCAAATTAACCCAACCAAGATAGCGTCCAGCAGCCACTGAGCTGGAGCAAGCAGAAGGCTTGGTTGCCCTGGCAATAGAGGAAGCCAAACTTCCCGCCTGCCCTGGCTGGCTGTAGCCTCCGCTCAAGGCAACAAAGTTTCAATTATAGAAGATAAATAAATCCCAGATACCTGCTTCAGGCCAGCCTCCACTGGGAGCTTGAGTGGCTGGTGGGTGGGGGCG